CACATTTTTTATTATTATTAGGTAATTTAGTTGCTTGATATTTAAGATTTTCTTCTATGTGTACATTTATTCCTGGTGTGAAAGGTATTCGGTTCAACATTGTATTCAATGTGGCTTTTGATGGAAGTGCAAAAATTGATGATAAGAATCTATAACCTTTGGGCGATGTTTTATATATAGACAGTGCTAAAATTTTATCATCCAAAGTATACCTCCTTCCTTTTGGACTATTTTTTTGGATATGTACCTGAGTCTTAATGAAGTCTAGTGTCGTTTTATTAAGTTTTTCTGTTAAGTTGTTACAACTATCAGTTATAACAAACTTTTTAGCAAATTTAAGTTGTTGTTTGAAGGATACATTTTTTTTAGTCATACAGTTTACTTTTTTTATCATTTTCTTGGCTACAGTATATAGTTTTTCTTTTCTTGGAGTCAGGTCTGCTACTCTCCTCATTCCAATATTGTACAATAATTTCTTCTTTTTAGCATTTATAGTATTTGGCAATTCAACCAGAGGTGTTGCTATAAACAAAATATAAAAAAGTTTGTCTAATAATCTATATAAATTCAGTTACATAAATAAATAATAATTTTCTTACCTAATGAAATGTCAGACAAACATGAAGCTAACGGTGACAAACAACTAACATTCATAAAGTCAGTTGACTGATCCAATAAAGGTAAAGCCAATGGTGATGGACAACTAACGTTCACAAGATCAAATGATTCATCACATGTAGGTAAAGCCAATGGCTATGGACAGCTAACATTCACAATTTCAATTGACTCATTAGCCAATTGCTGTTGTACAGATCTATTTGAAATTATAGCTGAAAATAAAATAGGTTTTATTATTTAACGTTACTAATATAAATAATTACCTATAGACCGATTTCTATGATAATCAATCTTAAAAAAGTATAAAAAAGCAAATTAACTTAAACTTATGGTTATTTTCTTTATTAAGTGTATAAAGATTAAAATGCAACATTTTTAAATTTATTTCACATACTTTTTCTTGTTTCTATATATTACAATCTTAGATTTAGTTTTAACATTTATTAGTGTACCTATATATTTGTGTCTATCATTATATAATGATCTCTACCACAATCACAAGCATTATGCTTAAGGGAGGTAGATAATTTATTGTAAAATTTAATCTTAATGTTATTATTTACTTGTAGGTATTATAAATGTTTTCTTTACAATAGGTAAAAAAAAAAAAAAAATTAATTATAAAAAGGTGGACAAGTGGATATAACATTATTGTATACCAGCCACCAGGTGTCACCAATTAATTTCTATGGGGGTTCGTTTTGTAACGTTATTTATATTTAATTATTTTTAATAAAAAGAAACTTTATTAAAGAAGAAAATATAATATAATATACAGTAGACAATAGACATAATCGCATATTAAGTTGTTTATAATAATACAAATAATATACATACTTGGTAATAACAATGTAGGCATTGACCCTCTTTTCAAACGCTTTGTTCCAGTACTGTAGCAGGAACTACTGAAATGGTTTCAACAAACCAAAAATGTTTTCCTCACATGTGATTTTGAAAGTCCTTCCAATTTTTTATTGCCAGTACGTAAAACCCACATGTCGTATTCCGCGTCAATTAATGGAAAAACATGTTTTTTGACCGTTCTCTCACTTTCACAACCCAACACACTGCACTTGTTGGACGGCATAGTTAAATATATATTGTGTTAAAACAAAATATAATTAAAATGCAAACAAAATTGGTAAAAACTGGTAAAAAATGGATGAGCGCGTGAAAACGGTGCTGTAACGGAAAACTCAAAAAAGCGTTAAGCGAGTCACAAAATACAATGTTCTGTTCTTCCATTTTACTTTTTTTTGGTTAGAAGACAAAATAATTTAAAATTCTTCGTTCATGGATTAAAAAAAATAATATTCCATGAGATCGATCACTAGCGCCGCGAGTGAATTTCTTATCAACTAATATCAGAGTCATTGTTTTTACAGCTATGAGTTAAGCACCCCTGGTCTGGAAGGGCCGTCCGACAGTGTTGCCGCGTATAGCAAAATGTAGCCAACAGAATGTATTCATAAACTTTTCAAATACTTTTTTATTTTACTTTTCTACTAGTTCACCAAATTAATATTATTTATAATTTATTTAATTAATTTAAGTTGGGTTCTCAACATTTATGAACGAAAAAAATATTATAATTCATTAATAAAATACTACCTATAACAATTTTCAAAATAAAAATAATAATATGTGACAACTGACGAATAATTCGTATTTGAATTTACAAAAGTATTTGTATAAAATTATTCGATTTTCAAATTCAAATACGTTCAAGACAGTATTTAAAATACTTTCCAAATAATTAAACCAAAGAGTATTTAAGAAGTATTCTAATAAGTTTAAGTCATTGACCTAATAACTAGTTATATGGTTCAAGTGCATGTATATGAAAATGTATTGTATGCAGTGCCGTACCCAGGATTTGTTTTCGGGGGGGGGGCTTAAACATACTTAACTTTATAGGAAAATAGGAAATAATTTAAAACATATAATATATACACATAGTTTTTAATGTATTATGCATTCATTATTAAATTGTCACAATTTAAAATCTAAACGCCTTTCCTTTTTAGACGCAAACATATTTAAAATAGCATCTGTGTCAATTTGTATGTCTCTGTGGATATTCATAAGAGCTAATCCGTTTAATCTTGCCTCACCGGTAGAGTTTCTTAAATAGGTCTTGATTCTTTTTAAAGAAGAAAAACTTCTTTCAACCGATGCCGTTGATACAGGCCAAATAGCAAGAAGTTTTAATAAAATATTTATATGTGGGAATAAATCTTCGGGGCATTTTGATAATGTGTCTAATGCATTTTTTGGTAAATTATTTTCTTCATTAGACCATTTTTGCTTCCAAAATTCAAATTCATTTTTTAATAAGTCCATGTGAATGTTTTGGTTATTAGATCTTAAATCTTCTTCATAAAAATCAATAGCTGGCTGTATATCACTAAATGATAAATTACCAATTTTGCTTGGTAATAAAGAAGATAAAGAAATAAAAATATTAGAGTTCATTTTAAAACGTTCATTAAATGATGCTAAAATATCATCTAAATATGGATAATATAATGATTGTCTGTAGTAAGAGACATGGTCATTATTGAGTATGGCATAATTTTCTCGATGTTTTTGAGTCCCGACTACTCTTGGTATGGTTGGTGATGTACCAACTTCTTTTGCGATTTCACAAGCACGATGAAATATAGAAAAAAAAGTTTCTTCCGTCCGTAAATCTTGTAATTTTTGAATTGTCAATTTTATTCTACAGATTCTATTGCAATGGATAAATCAATATTTTCTGTTTGAAGATATTTTGAAATAAAATAAGTTATTCCAAGGACCTTTTCCAAAATACAGATAGTTATAATAAAATTAAAATTACACATAGATTTATGTAATGGAAAAACTGCTTTATCATGTTCTATTGACATAAGTTCTTCCAATGCACTAATTATTTCAATAAAACCTTCAACCAAAATTAAAATTGACTCGTGTCGTTCT